CATTAGTGGTGTAATATTGTAGACAAATACTTTAGCTACTAGAAAAACCAACCACTATTTTTAAATACTTCGAAATTGAATTTTTATAAATAAAATTAGCGGGTAAAAAAGGTGGTCCCTATACGGACCACCGTGCTTCAAAGGGTTAAAGAAGTACGTAAGGGTTTTTCAAAATATTGATTTTTCTCAAAATGGCAGCAGTTTTAAGAAAGACTTGTACCGACGAAAAATACACATTTTTCGTAAAATAGCTGCCATTTTGAAAGTCAATATTTTATTAAAAAACCCTCTACGTACTTCATTAGTCTTTATAATATGTAAATAACGACAATTCTTTGTATTTTGTTCAAACCGTGTGCCTAAAATCTTATACACCGATTTGAAGCTTCAGAAAAAAAGGGATTCCGCAAGTAGGCCAGTGTGCCGTCATTTTGGATATAAAAAACAAAAACAATATTTTTTTTACTTTCTTATATATATACAATAATGTTCTCTAAATAGATCTTTAATAAAGTTATCTATTTACCGACAAAAAATGCCAAACTTACGTATATTAAATATTTTAAGGCCTCAAGGATGGCCTCTCTCTAATCCCTTAAGTAAATGAAAACACTACTTTCACGAAAGAAGAATTCAATGTACCAACCTCTTTATCCTTTGGCTCATCTTTACATTCCTTAACTTCAGATACATCGGAATTCGCTTTGTTAGTTTCATTGCCTGCACCAGAAGTGGAAGTCGGAGTTGGCGTGGCAGCGGGGCTCGGGCTGGGAGCATTCGAAGTGGCTGGGGTAGCGCTGGTGCTACTGGTACCTGTCGCTGCATCTCCAACTGCTTCTCCAACTTTGACGGGCTCCACTGGTTTGCGTATCATCTCCGGCATTGAATAATAGCCGTTGATGTGTTCGAATTCCTGTACCTGTGACACCATATGTATAGCTCGTATTTTTTTCGAACATTCTTTGTGGTTTAAAACAAGAAGCAACGAGATAATAAATACATATATACAAAGATATATATATTGGGACTGATGATTTGCTTCGAAGGCTTCGACATTCGAACTTCGAAGCTTCGAAGTTTCGAAAAATACATTCATGCAAAATAATAATTTATTTAGAAAATTTACAAATATTGTAATAAAAAAAATTAATATGTATGCTCAAAATATACGAAATTATTCCTAAAAAATTTGAAAGTATTGTAACCTGAAATATTACAAATAATTAAACTTAATACATATGTAAATAAGGAAAGATAATGATTAATAAAACAATCCAAGAGAGAAAATTTAAAAGAGAAAATTTAAAAGAATATATAAATAAATTTATTCTCGAAGCTTCGAAGGCACCTTAAACTTCGAAAGGTAGAAGTTAACTTCGAAGCTTCGAATATTTGAAGTTTAAGGTGCCTTCGAAGTTTGAGAATAAATTCATTTATATATTCTTTTAAATTTTCTCAATTACAATTTCTCAATTATTATACATATATATATATGTAAATATATATACAGGGTGGGTACTCAAATTTTGTAAAAGAATTCCCTGAAAATTCCCGGATTTTCCAGAAATTTTCAAAATTCCAGGTAAGATTAGAGAATTTATCAATACAGCTTTAAAATAAATTAGGCACTAAGAATTTTAATAACGTATAGAACTTGATGCGTGAAACAATTTAATCTTCTCATATGTACAATAGTTACATCTCATTTTCGAAAGTAACGAAAGATTTTGTATGGAGCTATAACTACATATGAAGATCAAATTGTCTCACACACCAAATTCTACATTATTGGACTCTTAATGCCTGATTTATTATTTCCGGATTATCGTTTTTTAGATTGAAGAGTCTTTATGTAATATATGTCAATTTTAAAATAAATTAATTTTCAATATCAGGGGCTCTCGATATGTGGCCACGTTTACTTTGTAAAGGGATAAAATTAAATTTAAAAGTAAAATTCAAAAAATTTCCCTGAGTATCAGTAAAATTTCATGAGAACCCATGATTTTCAAGGGTAAAAATGAAATTCCCTGAGAATTCCAGGTTTTTCCCGAAGTAAAATTCAAAAAATTTCCCTGAGTATCAGTAAAATTCCATGAAAACCCATGATTTTCAAGGGTAAAAATGAAATTCCCTGAGAATTCCAGGTTTTTCCCGGTAGTACCTACTGATATACTATACACAAACGCAGTATATACTTTAATAATCGTTACCTTCTTCCTAATCAAGGACATGACGCCGATTCTCGTTAATACATGCTGCCGGCTGAGTCCTTCTCGTGGAACGCCGTCAGCGAATGTTTCCGCATTGTCAGCACCTGGTTCGCAGAGATGTCGCATGAAGAGTGACACGTAGGCTTTGAAATTTTTCTCCGACTTGCCACGCAGGTCGCGCACCAACCTACAGCAGTTTCAAATACAAAACTCATTAACATACATGGTAAACAAACAAGCGGTGGTAAAACATTTCTATTCTCATCATTACAACAAAAATTATTTTTTTTTAATTATTTTTATAAAAATTATTTTTATTTTTAAAAACATTATTTTTATTTAATTACTTTTATTTAATTACTTTTACAAACATTATTTTTATTTAATTACTTTTACTTTTATATGGCACCAATTTTATTGCTCGTCCATTTTGTATGATTTCTATTCTCGCCGTGACCCAACAAAAATATACACTTACCACTGAGAATTGAAAGCGTCCTGAGGCGGCATTCCATAACGCATAATTGCATTAAGAAATGCTTTCCGTTGTCTAGCATTAAAACCTAATACCTGTAAAAAGGCGTGTATAAATTAAGTATTATAATAAAAAAAGAGAGTAATAGACACATTAGAGGTGTGCGAATCAAGCATTTGCGTGGTCGAATCGAATCGAATTTTTGATAACTTGTTCGAAATCGAAAACTATTCGATTTCGAATCTTACAGATTCAAAAAGAAATTCGAACTTTTCGCACACCTCTAAGAAACATACCTACAACTCTTATTTTAAATAAAAATTTTGCTGTAATATTTTGTACTAAATCGTTATTATTTTCAAGTATATAATATTTAAAAATTTAGACATAATAAAACATGTGTACGTAATCGTACATATTTTTCTCTCAAACGAAGACCAACCTCGATATTTCCATTTACTCTGGCAAGTAGAGGCGGCAGAGGTCTATCCTTCTCATCGCGTCTCTCCAGTCTTCGTCTGCTTCTGCGCGACAACAAGTCCCCGTCGCCCTTCTCGTCGAAATCATCGTCCTCCTTGTCGTCGTCGCTTGGCGCGCTGAAGTCGCTGTTATAATCCGACAGATTCTCCTGCCACGGTTGGTCATCTCTCGCGCCTTGGTCGCCAGTCACACCACCATCCGTATAATTGACTTGTTTTCGTACTCGTTTGCCTATTAATTGGATTTTCAAAATATGCGTATAAATATTTACAGAATTCTTAATGTATTACAGGGTGGGTACTCAAATTTTGTAAAAGAACTTGAAAATTCCCGGATTTTCCAGGAATTTTATTCAAAATTCCAGATTTTATTCAAAATTCCAGACCGGAGAACTTCTCAATACAGCTTTAAAATAAATTAAGCACTAAGAGTTCTAATAACGTATAGAACTTGGTGCGTGAAACAATTTAATCTTCTCATATGTACAATAGTTACATCTCCATATAAAATTTTTCGAACGTAACGAAAGAATTTTGTATGGAGATGTAGCTACATATGTGAAGATTAAATTGCTTCACGCACCAAATTCTGCGTTATTAAGGGGAGATATACACCTAGGAGCCGGAAAAAAGGTCATTTTTGTGAATTTTTTGAAGGAAAACTATTTGAAATTTCGGATTGGGAGTTTTTCTATCTAAAAGTATACACATTC